CTAGGTTCCAAAATAATATGAGGAGACCTGAAAACGATTTGACGCGTATGAGACTTTTCTGGTACTCCAGTAAAACATCTTGTTCGACCAAACCTTTGCATTTTAAGAGGTACCTCGCTATGAATTGTCTATCAAAGAATTAATGCCCAGGTAAGATCAAAAATTTTCGCAATACAGGTAAGCTCCGTTTTGAACACTTTTCCAGTTTACATGAATCGTAACCCTCTTCCCTTCGCTTCTTTGCACCTTATTTTTATAAATTTAAATACTGTTATCAGCCCGTTTGTTGTGTGGTAACGCTACAGCTGTTAGTTCCGACAACGTCATGACTGAAATTCATGATATATCAACCAAACATATTCATTATCTGCACAACGACTACTGCTTTCTAGTGACTAAAATTCTATAACTGGATGTTACTGAAGGCCTGGAATGGTGCTTCAACGCCAGGGCAGAAACGAGAAGCAATCATCTGGTTTATACTAACGAGTTCTAAAGATAGTGGATATATTGGGTATTGGATGGGAGCCATTTTACATTGAGCGTCAGGCATAAGCGCTCAGAAGGATTCTGGTTGTACTGGCGGATGACTTAGAGGTAGGATTTTGTTTTCCTATTTATGTGAAGATTCTAATAGATTGGTTTTTTGACGAAACTGTCGACGAATATTTCTCATCGTTGTGTTTAAACATTTGCTGTACAAACTATTTTTTAAAACGTATTCCCAAATTATTGCAGTGAGTTGCCTCTACAATTATTTATAATCACGCTGTATCCAAGTAATGTAATCGTTTACAAGTGCTTCGAAAGTAATTATTCTTTGAGTGAAAAAGTGAGGGATATTGACTATTTCTAAGAGGTGTGGTTTTCAAAAATCTAGGGAAAGATCGAGTAATTGAATTTCGATATCCATTTTTGGTAATTCCCCAAACGTTTTCTGATCTTGAAAAAAACCTGTCTACTTAAGCGCTATTCCGTTAATGACTCATTTACAGCTACGGCTTATTTAAGTCACGTGTTCAAGTGACGTTGTTTTTGCTTCCTGTAGATTACTATGATAGTAATTCCATAGTTATTTTTTACTTACTAGTTCTTAACATCTATTCTCAGTTCATTGATATCATTTCGTGTCAGTTTTTGTGCCTTTAACTCCCTGAATAGTTGTGCTAGCAATTCGTCATTCAGAGCACATTTTCCAGCGTAATTATTTTTTAGATCGATTCCCTGTGAGATAATCGGTAATTTAATCATATAACCTATCATACACATAGTTTCATTTAGCCGTTCTTTTTTCCAGGACGGTAACTAAGTTTGGCTATGCATATAAAGTTGCCATTGGTCTTACACCCATTGATATGAACTTGAAAAAACCATTAACCTGTGTGACAGGATTTAAAGCAATTGCAATTTCGCCTTTTAATTATTTGTTTTTTCTAAGAATAGCGGTAATTTTATAGAAGACATAAAACAAACAAACTCTTAACGATAATATTCATTTTATGCCGGGAGGATGCACCACTCAACAGAACTAGTTTTAAGTTGTCATTTAGTCTTCAGCAATGAATTTGAATTTCTACAGGCCCCATTTTGCATTACTCAACCTCACGTGATTAAAACGCAACAATTAGACAAAACAGTGACTTCATAGGGTGATCCCATACTTTAGTTTGGCGATCCTTAGTCTTTGTGGTACTTGCATTATTCAGCCAATTCTCATTATTTTCATTGCTCACCTAGGTGTCGTAACTTGTTTTTGCAGGATGCTTCCTTAGTACATATTTCAATGCTCCTATCCCTACCTTAGCTTTTGATTGAAGCAGTAGTTTATTAGTCTTACCAAGCAACTTTCGACAACTCGCGTATAGATAAAGATCCCATTATATTTTTGTCTAGATAACCAATCATCGTCAGTAGAATGTCGCACAATAATCGTGACCAAACGTCGAGTACGAGAACGCCTGTCAGATTATTAAGGTCGACTAGCCGAATTTCGTTACTTTAAGATCTTCGCGTTCCATTTGAAAGGCGCACATATATAATAGCCTTATTTAGTAGAGATACCGGTTTGAACACTCGGGAAGTATTACATCCCACAGCAAATCAAGTGACTTGTGTGGCGCATATGTATTCAGTGCCCCTTTGTACCAATATTTCTGTTTAAATAAAGAATAAAAGACAAAAATAAAATGTTGGGTTTATTTGTCGATTGTTAGATGCAGCGGTGCCCCAGAAGAGATATGGACTGACAACTAGCTCCACAATGTAGTTATGTATGCATAAATGACAAATGGTATTTCTAGATTCCCCTAATATGTCAGAATGCTGTTAAGAGACGAGTATTGTTCGTATTATTAGGCTCTCTAAAACTTAGCAGTTGTCAGACAATGTTTACTAAAAGTTGATAACATTTCTTAAGTTAATGAAACCATGGACGTTGGCATGACTTGACTTTTAATCAGCTAACGATGTTGTGAGTTTGTTTGAGCTATGTGTCATGTATGAAAAGTCATTGGGTAGTTGAATATGTGATGCTCGAAAACTTGCGATGGTGATTTACTAAAACAATAACTTCAGTGCATAGGGTTGTCGATCTTTGATCCAAGGTAGATAATAAGTTGTAAGTTTCCAAGTTGCTCTGTTTAATATACCTTGGATAAATAATGAGACTTTGGGCAATATTAGTTTGGAGGGGATGTCAGTAAATTAAACACACTCATCCTATCTTCTGCAGGATGCTGTGTACTCTATCATTTTAGACTAAGTATTACTTCAACGGTGCTTATCTGTCAGCTGCCTAGTCATTATTTTGATTCGTCAAGTATGTCACTATTGTTTACTTCATCGTATAAATCGAGCATGACCATTAATAATCAACTAAATAAAGTTTGTTATGTTTACTTACCAATATCTTTAAAGTCATTCGTCATATTTGATTTAACCGCGAGATGCAGAATAAATCCATTTGTGCCACTGCGCCAATAACATCGTTTGTCACTAGGTGTGGCAAAGATGGACATATATCCTGCAAAGCTTCTGTAATCAAACTCTATTACTCTAGTCCAAGGTTATAGGAAACTTTAATCGGAATTATCAACCTCATGTATTGTTCGTCGGGCTTGCCCACCATTTCCTTTCTTATTCGATTCCGTCATAGATGTCTTCCTAAATGTCACAATTTCTTCATCTAACTTTTCAGATGGTTGATATCGTACTATAGCACTCGCTTATCGACCTAGCACTATGGGGTGACACAGTTATGTTTATTAAAGACCTTGACGTAAATCGGAATCTTCTAGTGACCTTGGGTAGTAGTTCAAGGATGTTTTGATACGTTTTCTAAGTTCAAAATATTACTCCTCACTTGTTCTGTGCAAACGTTTAGCTAGTGGTATAGAATGATTCAGTCGGGTGCATGGACCACTTCACTTGTCTTGGAATTCTCACCACCCCTGGTAGGCTATTATCTGACAAAATCTCGGTATGAACCTAGAAACCTCGGTTGGCTTTTGCTAACTTTCGTCACTTGCGGCATAGGTGATATATCTATCTTCCAACCAAATGAGTATGCCAAGCAGCAGTTCATTAAGCATTACTCTATGGGTGTGAAATATAGTCTTTAGGAATAGAAGACATGTATAGGGTGCAGGCCTTTGGTCATATATATCTACAAGGTATTGTAGAACAACCGAGTAAGCAATGCTAAGATTAGACTTAAGGTATTGAGTAATATGTATTATGGGGTTTATAGTCCAATCGTATTCATTTACTATCTGAACCAAAAAGCTACACAACATCACTTTCAAAATTATATATATATATATATATATATATATATATAGTTAGGTTTTTTATATTCATGACATCACAAAAGGTGATCATATGATTAAAAAGTACAAGTCCCTATACTGATTCACCGAAAGTTGTTACGGTTAGTCATGAAGTTTTATATGATAGGCAAACCGAGTTGATAAGGTTATGTTGAAACCGTGTCAGCTGATATGCTTATGGGATGTTGCACGTTCTAAACCATGCACATTGAGCTCCAAGTGGTTTGGGAGTGGTTTTGCTGACTCCTTTATACTCATATTTATCGAACTAATCCTTGTGAATCAATGAAGAATTACTGTATTTGTTATCGCTAATATATCAAAACTTTAATCATGTGTGTTTTCCGGTGCGCCGTATGGTATCCGTTTTGATTTCCGGTGTTCTATAAAATTTCATAGTTAATTCTCATTTACCGTAAAGAGCTCTAAAAGTTACTTGTCTCTAGTTTTCCTTGGTTTTCCTAATGATGGTGATCAAAGCTCTCGATTGTCAAGCAGTGGATCTAAGGTTTGAACCTCGCGTCATCTAATTCGATTTGGCGATCCTTTAGTTCTACTTGTTCTCCAACAGAATCAATGTGGGTCAAAGTAGGTGGGGCGAGGTTTGAACCTGAATACCTTGATCGCAATCATTGCTCAAAGTTTTGTACATAAATTTATATTTGGTAAACAGAACACAAATTTTTATATTCTCTTTTGTGCTCGATGTTATTCTTGGCTTCTGTGGTGTTTTTCTCCCTTTAAAGTACAGCATGAATACTGGATTTGACGTACGCTATATATTTCTTGTCACTTAGCTAGCTAGTATGTTACCGGCAGTTTTCTTCCCTACAGTTGTTGTTTTTGTCAATCTATAGATGATCCTGTCACATATTTTTTACATTTATTTATTTCAGTTACTTGATAATTGTAGGCAAATTGTTTAACATTCAGTGTTTAGCCAGTACTTTGTATGTGTAAACGTAAATAAGTAAAGTAATTTAAAATATTTATGTTAATTAATAAGTTCTACTGATTCACTTCAAATATTTTTAGTGCAAAAATAATTAATTAAATATAATCGTCGATAAATTAAAACATTAATGACTTGCTCTTTTTTTGATGAATGGATATCAGTTGATACACTTATATACACGTATATTATCGTTTTCTAGATTATAACAAATCATCATTATGTCAAATGTTGTTGTACGGACAAATGAATTTTCAACTATATGGCCTCTATTGTTAGATTATAATCAACGTGAATGTTTACAGATTTTACGACGTCTTGAATTAGAGGCCTATAGTAAAATTGTAGCAGTATTACGAGCACAAGGACCGTTAACAGAAGAAAAGAAAAAGCTATTGCATAAATTACAACGTCTTTTGAGTATTTCAATTGATCGGCATAAAGCTGAAGTTCGTAAAGCTTTAAATGATGAAGAGCTTGCAACTATATCAGAAGCGTACGTTTTATTACTGTCATTATTACTATTACTATTATTATTGTCATTATTATTATTATTATTATTATTATTATTATTATTATTATTATTATTATTATTATTCACTAAAGGAGCAGTAACTAAGTGGTTAAGGCATTTGACTTTCAGCTTTCGGAAACCAGGATTGAATCCTGGTCCACCCAGTTCAGTGTGAGAAGCTGGGTAGTATCATCGGATGCTAACTATAAAGTTTGGCTCAAAGCCAAGAATACCAATCTTTACTTGGTTTGTGAGTTAATAAGAAAGTGGAGTGGTGGTTCAGTAATTAAGGGATTCTACTTTCAGTTATTAAGTTGCAAGTTTGGACACCGCTCCATTTATTTCCGTTTGGATAACTGGTTTGTATTTTACATAGTCTTCATAATTGGGATGTGACTCAAAGCCAGTTAAACGAGTATGTGTATGATTGATGGGTTAGTAATAGTAATAAACAAAATACTGAGCAGTAGTCTTTGTTTTTTTTTTCTTTCAAGTGTATGCGGTAAAGAGGTTGATGAAGAATGGATCTTAGAGGGTAAACGTATTTCACCAATTTTTCAACGTCCAAGTCCTGAGACTATTTTTATATCACAAGCTAATAAAGCTTCTTTTGAACAGTTAATTCGTAATTCTCGATTACCATGCCCAGCGGAAACAGCAACATTTTCTGAAACTTTCATAAAACTAGCAAAATTGAATGATGAGAAAGTTGATGTTAAACAACAATCAGTTGAACAGGTAAGACAAAATAAATTTGGCTGCGGTCATCCGCAATGTTTTAAGTGTTCAATAGATTTGGTATATTTAGAACCTTCAGTCATTTCTTAATTCATTTTATAGCTGAGTGCTTCACAGGGGGTTACATTTTAAATTGTAACATTCATTATTATATTTGTTTTTTATTCGGGATAATGGACTGGATTACACTTACCTGTTTATATTGGACAGTTGGGAATAACTACAAACGTTCGGGATGGAATTACGCTTCAATTACATATTCACGAAATGAATAGAAAACCGTTTAAAGTTTCTGGTAGCAACATACTTATTATGTATGAAAAACGTTGTAAATGTGACCTCAGCCACTTAGCTATTTTCAATCTCTAACCAACAATACTATTTTGTATCTATTTATCCTCATGATCTTTAGGTTGAAAAACAAATTGTGCTAGAGCTTTTTTCGAAGTATTTTCGTTTATTTCTGACTATGAGTTCAATAAAAAAGGATTTCTAGAGAAAAATGTTAAAGGTTTTTCTTGACTTCTATCTAACTAAGACTCCGTTAGTCCATGGAGTTTGTAGCCTGTTGATCGAAGCCTTGTTGATGACTGTAGACTATTAGATTCGCTGGAATAATTCACTCGTGGTCATTCAAAGTCACAAAAACTGTCTTGGGTTCCCGAAATATGAATAAAATATAAATATTGTATATATATTAAATGTTTCTACAGTGAACAATAATTATCTTGTATTGAAAACGCTCACATTCAAATGGATTAATTTGGCTACAACAGTTATCGCTCTTCAAAAACATGTCCAAAAATAACCACTTATATATATCTGGAAAATAAAAAGTTTATCTATCGATAAGACAGCAGTTGGTTTACGATTAACCAGTGAGACATTGGAAAGAAAATTGTACAATAAATAAACTAGTTACTCATGAGTAACACAATTATCATCTATAAATCTCACACCATTTCTCATTTTTCATTTTAATTTAGAAATTTCCTCCAGTAGTAGTAACGAATGATAAAGTATGTGATATATCAGTGAATGAATCGAAGACAGACATTCACACTGTTAATGACTCAATTCATCTTTCACAAAACAAAAATGAAAATAATATTAAACTAGATAATTTGAATAAATTACCAGAAAAATGTTCACCAGTGAAAACTCAAAATAATCCGCTTGTTAAATCACTACTTGAACCCAAAACTACTTCTATTCAGTCACCATCGATAAAAGATAACAATTATGTTGTGGATAAAAGCTCCTTGGATGTTGTGTTACCACAAAAAATGGAGATTAGTTCATCACTTCAAATGGATAATCAACAAGAAAACTCTACCCTATCCACTTCATTTTCTTCTTCATCGTCAACTTCGTACACTGAAGTTCTAAATGCAAAAAATCAAGTTTTATCCAATCAATTAACATTATTGCCGGTAGTTACACGTGAATCTTCATCTTCCGGAAGTAGTTGTTTATTGAAATCGGAAAATACTTCACTTGTCAATTGTATTAGTGATACTATATTGAATAAACCTAGTAAAGTTCATGAATCTGTTTCGTTGAATGAGATAAATATGTCAACTTCAGTTGATGCTCAATTTACGACACCCGCTACAACAGCAGCCAATGTTGTTACCTATGCGATTTCAGAACCTCGCACTGTTCAACCAGTTTTTAGTCAAATCAATCGAATTCCTATTACAACTACTATAACCAGTGGTAAAGTATTGAATTCATCTAATTATTCAGCTGTACATGGCGTGAATCTGTCATCATTGCCATCATCGTCTTCAGCTCATACATCTCAGCATTTGGTCGTACAAATGCATCGAAATCCTGACGATTTATTGGTTAGAATCTTAAAGTGTTCTTTTATCCTTGTTTTAATTTTGTGTATTTTGCTGTGACATTTTTTTCTATTAATTACCTAAACTAATTATTGAATGAGCAATCGGTCAATCACAACATAGAATCTAGTACATATGTACATCGATTCAGGTTGCCACACACTATTAGCACAGATGATATTTGCCAAATCCCAGAATAGTAGAGGTACTAACAATATCAGTGACAGTAGAAAAGATTAATTATCGAAGATACGATTCAAGAAAACATAAACTAGTGAGATTAAGAAAACATTTAGAATTCAAAAGCCTAGAATCTGAGGAAAGATGAAGAGTGGATGCATATGTGCTATTGCAAAAGATTTTCGTCTATGTCATTCAAAGTCTCTAATCACTGATTACGATAATCATGCGGACCCCAATCAGGTAGTCTAAACCTATTAACATGGCTTAGTCCAATTTTAAATGTTTCTGTAGCCTGGTCCCCTGTTTTTGTTTGACCGCCCCTAGCTTTCTCCCAGCATACTCCTACATTAAACAACATAACACATCATAGCACCTCACCTATATTTAAGTCTGTATACGTTTAATTTTGTTAGACCTTTTAATCAACTTATTTGACAGACAGTGTTATTAGAATAGTAGCAATTTGTCTATATCTTTGTGTGATTATGTATTGCAACATACATACATAGTTCTCTTACTAGCCTAAATGTTAGTTGCTTAAATCGCCTGATGACTCATTAATCTTCCTATATATATGGGCTTCTTAAACCTTATTAACTCATTCGTTCGCTTGGATTCATTTACACTAGGATTTCTGTTCGGATTTGCTTTGTGTGCTTGTGGCCCTATGATCTGCACTGTGCAATAACAACGTTTTGCATTGTCTTCTGAAAGTTATACACCGTTGGGAGTTATCTAATGGTGGTTATCAGGACGAGTGATATACGAAGTATTAGGAATTATCCCAAAGATATCCCACTACAGTATGCCCAAACCACCTCAGTTGGTGAAAATTTACTACTCCATCAATTGATTTGCCGTTATTACTTAGTACCGTATTCCTAACCTCTGTGTTGCTTACTCAATGGTCCCAAAATATGCGAGCAGTGATTTAAAGACACCTATGATTAGACTCATGGTATTAGACAAAAATCGTAAATCTGTTGGCAAAATTGTGAATATTCATCTATTTGGATGATGGATGTGGATTGCATATGCCTAGCCACATCACCTAACTCGACCCGCCAGGTTTGCTGGTGTAGGATTAGTTTTTATGAAAAATAATCCCTGGGAGGGGAGGAGTCGCAGGTTAAAACATGGCACTTGTTCGTGAATTCATTTGCTATTGATATGAGTCATATTATTAGACGCAGATTACCTGGTTGAGGTGTGCGATGTTATTGTAACCAATGATTGAAAGTATTGGACATATAGCTTAAATTGGTCCCAATGGCACAGATGCATTTACTTTTTGTCTCCCCTTAGATGCTGAGTTTTTAGGTCATTCCGTGTTTTCTCTTTCACCAATTAATTATTTCTCGGATTTATCCATAATTCTTTTTATAATCACTGATACTACTTGTTAGCCGGACATAGACTGGATTAAGCATGGTCAATGCACGATTGCTGTGATGCACGCTGATTGGATAAGAATTAGCCAATCAGCGTTAACCAATACTCAGTGAACACTAGAAATCTCATGTGAAAAACTACAAATATACTAACGTTTTCCCTATTGTGCTTCTTAGTTCCACTTAACTTTGTTATTTGGAATATAATCTCTTTTCCTATTCAATCGTGTTCTGATTTGGGGGACTTGTCGAGTGAATTGGTGTCCGAGAATACTAAGCAATAGGAATAGTTGAGTTGTAATAAAGAGAGGGAATTATAACACTACTACTTTGGTATTGATCTCACTGTGGTAGTATGTGGTGTATAACTTGAAGCGATCCACATATATGTCATCTCGAGTTAGATAGGAGACAGTAGATCATTGCTGTTAAAACAATCGACTTACAGTTTACATATCACAAGTTTTGAACTCCACTCTATCCACTCCAGACAACTAAGTACAATCATTAACTACTACACAAATAATGTGCTAAGGTCATATAAATATTTATTTAGTAAAATGGGTCATCTTACTATTTGTTACTAATTTGGCACGAAAAAAATTCCGGAATTCTAATTGTCAAACTTAAAAGAAGAACATAAATTTTAAGCATTTCCATAACATACCATTGATATAATCGACTTTAAACTGTTAATTTTAACCAATAGGAAGTGATTAAGTCACTTGTTAGTAGTGCACTTATCATTCTAAAATATGAATGGGCGATAAACATTTTTTTATTAACACATTTATTTCTATAAAATTTCATCACACATTCTTATTATTTATGAGAAAATATGTCACTGTTTTAAATTGTCGATAGGATTTTTTTCATCAAGATTATTTACTGGCTCCAAGTGGTATATCCCGGAGTTCTAGTGAGAAGCAGTGGAGTCAACCGGGTTTGTTACGAGACAGTAACTCACTGATGACAATAATGAATGTGTCGCTCAATTTCGTGGATTAGTTGAAGTTGGACATTAACACCGTCGGATGTTAGTTCAATGATCTAGTGGTTAGGCGCTCGCGCGCGCGACCGACAGGTCCTGGGTTCGAATATTGCGTGGCAAGGTCGTGGATGCGCACTGCCGTCCAGTGCTTCCAGGTTTCCCATGATGGTCTAGCTTCAATTGACTCATGATCTCAACTAATGAAATTACTGTAATATCTACAAAACCCTTCTGATATTTACTGTTTAACTCATAAGTTAACTGGATTAATTCTACTTATCATGAATAATAGTTAGAATTTATTGTTTCATTTTGTAACAGTTTAACACAAATGATAGGCTCCTGATCAAATTTCTAGGGCACCATTTTTCATAATGTACATTTATTGCTAGTAATTTTCTCATTCTCAATATGGTTTATCTGACTAGTTATGTCTGTCAATCGTGTATACTTCATAAAATAATTACAAATCATCTCGACTTTGATTATTACGAAACACAAAAATTATCACCACGTTGGTTCGTATACTTTTCTTTTTCCATTATCTTTTAGTGAAACCAGACACGATTACAAGAAAACACATACACTAGATATTATTCGACAATGAAAAGAGATGTTTTAGGAACAAAACTGATTATGAATGGATGAATATAAATGGCAGCTAATCACTTTAAAAATATTTTACAAATAGTTTTTAGTATCTTCGTAATTTAAATGATTATAAAACAGGAATTTTGTTGCGACTTTGCATATTTTGTGCTGAAAATTCTTTACTGTAGTCAAACATATAATAGTGAAGAAACCAAATATTATTGTTATAATTTCATTGGCATCACGAACCTATCTAAGTTAGACAACCATTAAAAACCTGGAAGCACTGGACGGCTGTTTCGTCTTGGTGTGAGAATTCCCAGCGATGCCTCCCCACTATCACGTAACGAGGGATCGAACCCAGGACCTTCAGTCTCATGGAGTTCAACAGCTTCAATTACTTAGTTACCCCACCGAAGACAGTAGAAGATGGTCGGTCCGTATTGCGATTTGATTGAAGTCAGTCTTATGCACCATTGGATTCTGGCTTACTGGTTTATAGGTTAAACGTTCTCACACGAAACCGACCATCCTAGTTTTGATTCCTCGTTGCGAGGTCGTGAGTGCACTTTACTGAGGAATCTCATACTAGGACTAAACGGCCGTCCAGTGCCTTCAGGTTCTCGATGGTTGTCTAACTTGAATCGGTTCATGATCTCGATAAAATTCGACAATTTTCACAAATCTATACTGATAATAGCTACTGTTATTATTAATACTATGTAGTGGTAATGTGTTCATTGTTTATTTATTCAATACCTATACAGGATTCTAGCCAACAAGTATTAACAACTACTCAACGCTGTTCTCTAATCAATCCTACCAATTCAGTTTATGTCTGTGAGCATTCAACACCTACAGCGACACGTTTATGTTCCACTTCTCCTAGTCATATTAATAATTTTACAACTAATAGTAATAAACTATATCAGCCTATCAGCAGATCGAATTTAGATAATGTAATCGGAGTAAAACGCCACCACCACCAACAACAACCTCATACATTGTCATCTGTAACTCCTAGTGTTCTAAGCATTCAAAGCCTTCATAATAGTAGTAAGTTTTAAGTAAATTGATTGTTTGTTTTCATTTTTTTTCTCGTGTAAAAAGTCACTTTACCGGTATATAATTATAATAATAGTAATAATTGATGGTAAAATATTTCTTTATTTAACAATGCTTTTGATAAGAGTATGAATAACTATGATAACAGCAACAGTAAGTTTTGCAAAGCGGAAAATAATGAGTTCACCTTTCTACTTCAAAGCTTTTCATGTGATATAAACAGAAGACAGTGGTATAAGGGGTTAGTGGATATAAATGAATTGTAAGGGAATGGTTGCAGGTAGTCGACAGAAATGTCTAGGCATAGGTTTCTCGCTAGTCCGGGATTGGTCAACAAGGTGTACCCGCAATCTTAGGGGAACTAACGCTCACTAGCGAACTAGGTCCATTGTCACCCAGCCGTTGATCAAATGTAATAGTTGTGATGGCTATTTTCAATGATGTTGTTTAATAAACCTTAAACCTTAGAGTAATAAATTCTGAAATACTAGGTGATTTTCTCCATAGTTTGACGTGTTGTCTCTTCTTGTTTGTTTTATTCTCTCTTCCAAGCTACACCATCTCAACGTTTTCGTGCTCCACAATCACAACCACCAGTTGTTTCTACAAATGAAACACCGAAACAGTTATCATCTATTACACAAATTCAAAATCCTAAAATTTTAAAAGCTACCATACCTGTTTGTAGTAACGTCTTGGGATCAACAACGTATGCATCAAATATGTTTTGTAGTTCAGTGATAAATATTACAACAGATAATTTGCCGATTAATAATAATACTGATCAATTAAATCGTACTTCATTACCTCAACAAAATACATTGATCCCATCTAGTTCAGTTGTACAATTTCCATCGTCAATTTCCGGGAACAATGTAATTGTGTTGCATAAAGGTAGATTGTCTTTTTCTTGTCAATGATTTTTGTTTTTCATGAATAAAATCTTTTTTATTTTATCAAAAGTTTTTCTTTTGTTTCAGTAAAATATGATCAACTCATCTCTATTTCTTTTCAAATTGATAGATGAAACATATTTCTCGTGTTAATGAATTTTCGTAAAAATTTTTATGAGAATTTTCTCCTGTATAAAATGAATCATTGTTTGCTTGCTTACTTACTTACGCCTGTTACTCCCAACGGAGCATAGGCCGTCGACCAGCATTCTCCATCCCACTCTGTCCTGGGTCTTCCTTTCTAGTTCGATCCAACTGTTGTTCATTCTTCTCATGTCTGTCTCCATTTCTCAGCATAATTTGTTCTTTGGTCTTCCTCTCCTCCTTTGGCCTTGAGGATCCCATGTGAGGGTTTGCCTTGTGACACTGTTGGGTGCTTTCCTCAATGTGTGTCCTATCCGCTTCCAGCGCTTCTTCCTGATTTCTTCCTCCATTGGGATCTGGTTTGTTCTCCCACAATAGATTGTTGCTGATAGTCTCTGACCAACGGATCTGCAGTATTTTGCGTAAACAACTGTCAATAAACACCTGTATCTTCTGGATGATGGCTTTCGTAGTTCTCCAGGTTTCCACCCCATACAGTAGAACTGTCTTGACATTTGTATTGAAAATTCTGACCTTGGTGTTGGTTGAGAGTTGTTTTGAGTTCCAGATGTTCTTCGGTTGTGAATATGATGCTCTCGTTTTGTCGATCCGTGCCTTCACATTTGCATCGGATATGTAGAGGTTTTTACATCTTCCAAATCTTCTCCGTCAATTGTGATTAGATTGGTGCATGCTGTGTTGTATAGGAGAATCTTGCTTTACCCTTTGTGTATATTGAGATCTACTGCTGCTGAGGCTGCTGTCACACTGTTCGTCTTCTTCTGCATCTGTTGTTGCGTTTGGGATAGAAGAGCCAGATCACTTGTGAAGTCTAGATCGTCCAACTGTATCCTAGATGTCTACTGTATCCCATGCTTCTCCCCAGATGTTGACATCTTCATGATCCAGTCGATCACCAGGAGAAAGAGAAAGGGTGAATCATTGTTTATTTGTAGTAGTGTTATTAAAATAAACAGTTGGAACAGTGTCCGGTAAAATGTATTATCTTAAATATAACTGGAAAACTTTTTAACTTATATTCGGGAACTGCTTCGTAGTTACTCTAGATTGAATAAGAGTAGATTGGTAAAGCGTTAAAAAACGTCTATTATTATAATTCATTGAATGTTTAACTGAACATTATCGAAATGTACAATTGTTTTGATTGATGTCTGGAAGTCAATAACCTTAATGTACATTAGTCACTGAGCAGCGACCAATGTTACCTTTATCTAATCCTTTAGTGCTGATTGGATTTCATCAATTGAGTTGTAATATGGTCACTAGTTTAAGTGGTTTGACATCACGTTCACCATATTGGATTTTTAAGTGATTGAAGATAACTGGCGGAAAACTGCAAATCTGGGTCTTGTTCCAGTTAGGACTCGTTCTCAAGGGATAGCTGTAATCTTCAAGGGATTTAATTCTTACTATTGGATTCGAACTTGGGTCACCCAGCTTCACAGTCCAAAACATTACTGCTAAGTTATCCGGGCCGCTCACGAGTGTCATTTAGCATGAAACCGTGATCCAGGGTATTTTACCAACTACCCACAACTACCTGATATCTTAGTTTTGATATTTCGGTGTCGGGTTTTATTGACGTGCTTTTTGCTTTTCGTTAAAATTTCATCATCGACCAATCGTTTTCGACTTATTCTATTCAGGTATTGCGCGTAAAACATTCACACCTACTCCATCTATACGAATTGGATCAACTGTGTCGGTCAATAACAATACACAAGCAATTGTATCTGGTGGTTATTCAAACGCTTCCATTGCATTCCCGAGTCGTCAGTTTCGAATTATTGGTTTATCGAATACACCTGTATGCTCTAATTCTAGTACCGTTGAAACTTCAATTTATAATCAGGAACCTAGTCAAGTAATTTGCAATATCAATGAATTAGTAGTATGTTCATGAACTTGTAATTTTATGCTTCATTTTTCAAAAAGGGGATTTTTAATATCGTTAATTCATTATCTCGTTGTTGGAGACACGGCATCGCAGCGTTTGCCTTGTGTGTATGCACTTGTACAATGGTTTATAAACCCATATAGCATAATTAGTAATGTGCATGATCTGTAGAATAAATACCTGGATTGAACCATTTAATTTGTTTAGTTATGGATATGTAGACACATAGAGTTTGTATAACCTTGATAGCCAGTTTTTACTAACCTATTAATTTATAATAGATTGTTATTGCATCACGACAATGTATCTACACACTATACTATGATTATCTGTGAATTTCCGACTCATAATTTTGTCATCATGATAGATCACTTTCAATAACCTAATAGACTTCACTCTCTAGGGATTTCTTTTGGTTTCCAAAATGCAAAATGGTTATGCAATAGCGACGGCTCTAGAACGATATTGAAACAACTAAGAGTGAAAAGATTTAAATACAGATAATGAGCCTAATGTTTGAGGATTTACAGAAATGTTTTGAACTATGAAATCAGGTTGATGGACCCTGATTATTTTAAAATAAAGTTTTTCGTGAACACTGTTTCCGTATTTATTAGACAGATTCTTACCTTAAGAAGTACAGACCACTTTCATGGCTATTTATCAACCCACCAAAAGGCATAGATGAGGATTGGTTGCAGTTGCGTAGTGCCATGAAAATGGAAAGTAAAGTCGCTTGCGGCTTCGCGGGACGTTCCGCTTATAAGCACTAGGTTTTAAAGGCTTCCTGCAACTCGTTGAAGCACGTTGGTCCACTCTGAGTTGACAAAGATTGTTTCGTAATGAAATCATGCAAAGAACTGAAAAGCTTGGTGGTTGGAAGCAGCAGTTGCATCTGGTAACTGCCGGAAGTCCTTTCAATCCATACGAGTCACTTGCAGCGCGAACTCTGGTGTATGTGAAATAATCCGTTAAGCTGATGAGATGCTAACCAATAACACCTACCGACATCTTGGACGATAGATAGAGTTCATCGAGTAACAATTCCAGTGGTATGCTGCCCCGGTGAAATCAATCAGACTCATCAGTGTCTAGTGATGGCTAGTCCACCTAACGGGATGAAACTCTTCAAGAAATTCCAACTCTCGAAGCTCCATAGATCTTGACACCCAAATAACTTACCTCCAGGTCGCTTTAAGGATGGTGGCGACTTTGTGGTCAAGGAATTGACTGGGTGCAAAGTTCTTCTACAAGACTGGCAAGACCCTGATCCTGTACTCACCCTGGGTAGTGAGCAGGTAGAAGTAGTCGAGAAGTTCGTGTATCTAGGTAGCTGCCTAAGTGATGGTAGTGGCGTGAGTGACGACATCAGTTCACGTATAGTGAAAGCCAGAGTGGCTTGTGCCAATCTGGGCCATCCTTGATACCCTTGTGATGTCAGTCCGTTTGTAAAAGGTCAGGTCTACAACGCAGTTCTGTTCTGTGCTTGTGAAACCTGGCCTCTCCGAGTTGTGGATGTTGGAGGACTCTATGCGTTTGATCATAGTTGTCTCCGAAGGATTGTTGACATCTAGTGGCAACACCATATTAGCAATGAAGAATGTTCAGCATAATGTGTTCGAACATCGACGTTGGTGGCTTGAACCTGTTTTGCGAATGTTGTCCCATAGAATTCCACATCGTGCATTGTTTGCCGACAATGGGACTGGTTGGGAACAACGGAGAGGCAGTCAGTGTATGAGATGATGTCGTGGTACGAAAGGAAGCTTTGCGGAACTGACATTTGTTGGTCCGTGGTGGGAAATTTAGAGATGGTGCAACACAGTGACTTGAGACGTTATCAATCATGGTTCAGAATAGAAGCCAGTGACGATGCTGCTGTAATGTTCTTTTACTTTCTTGAAACAGTGGGAGAAACTTCTTTAAGTGAAAGGATTCTTTCTGGTCGTATTTTTGCTGACTGCACTGCTTCTCTCATCGTTAATACTATTATTAATTCACTCTCATACATTAATTTATATCCGTTGTTGTTCTTTTGAATTATACTCACCCTATATTCTCTATATGCTCACAACCTTGTTTCTATTGTGGGTGAATATATATTGTGGCGCTCACTTGTACCAATGTTTATTCGTTTAAATAAAAACAATAAAATAGTATTAATAATAATAATAATTTATTTATTTATTTGAACACATAGATATTGGTACAAAGGGGAACCGAATACATATGCGCCACAAAAATCACTTGATTTATGTGTGAGCTATGTTATTGCCCAGGTGTCCAAACCGAAACAGATGGTTTTCTTAGGGGCCACACCCGGAGCCTTCGACCTAAAGGTTTGATCTACAAGGCAGTGGAGCAACGTTAGGAGATGCAGTCCTATGGTAGCCGGTGACCAACGATTGGCTCATACGCCGGTTTTTCCTTCAGGATCCCAGAGCCCATGTGCACCATTGGCTCGGAATTAGGGTCTTCCAACTCCCCTAAGTGGACCTTTTGTGTCTAAGTAACCGGTCAAAGAGGCGGACATTCGCTTTTCGTCCTCTCAATTTCGTAAACAACACCCTCGCCACTCACAACCAGAGAACAATGGATAGCTATTTCATCTTAGTATGTAGCTCTTCAGTGGTAAGTAACCGTGCCCCATCTCTGGCAACGCAACCCAGTACGTCCAGATTTCGCAGGGAACACGCTACTTTCAGATCAATGGGTTACCAGTTGTTGTAGTGATGGGTCGGTGTTTAAGACGTTTAGCCATTAGCTACTAAGTAACATGTTCGAACTCTACCTTACTTGGTTTGTTTTGGGAAACCGAGTAGTCATATCATTTGCCCTTCGATATATTGTTACTATCTGATCAGAGTACATAAAACTATCCCTGATGAATAAGTTAATTTATCCGTTGACCCACATTTCCAACTTTACTTAATTGGAGTTGTTTCGTCTCATTGCATACATAGTTGAACTATATGGGATATTCACAATAAAGGTATATATTTTTAAGTTACACTAACATCATTCTCTGTTGATTATAGCCTTTAAAATATTTTGTTATGGTATATAATGTTTATCTTTTCTTTTTTAATCTCATCGCTAGTCTATTCAAAATACTCCCACGATGATGACGACAACAAATGCTATTTCTAAATCGTCATCTAGTCATTTACTTCATCATAGTTCACGTTTAGGATCAATTCTAGAAGTTGATCTTGACTCAGATAATTATAGTGATCAAACCAATTATTATACTGATTATCATAACGCTACTATACATAGCAATAAATCGACTTCTCATTGTTCTACTATTGTTACAATTCCACAAACGTCTTTATCAATAGACGTATCGAAATTAACACCTATTCATCATAACAAACCAACAGTTTTAACCGATGAATTGTCTGTTGTCAATTTACTTCGTACTACAACTAGTACTACTAATAGTAATAATGATTTACACGATACTTCATCTGGGTTATATACTATAATCAATGAACAATCGTTAAATAATAATCGATTGCCGATATATTCTGAGGTAAATGTCTTTTCTACTTTTTGTTGCTTCACTTTTCTTTAGAGTTCTTGTGCTCAGATAATTTTCTTAAATTTTACTCATTATCAATAATAATCAAAATAGTGATGAATATACTATTAACAAGTACATGTTTTTTAATGTTTTGATCAGCATAGACAGTGAATGATTTTTCTGAAATTCCAGCATATTACACATTATTTACTGTTACATTTGATTTATTTGGAAACAGCTGTTTTCTTTAATGTTTTGTCTCCATTAAACAATAACAATTGTTTAACAGATTTCCGTGGAGTTCTTCTTATGCTGTCATATAAGATTTTTATCTATAGTGTAATACATGTATTTATTAGCTGATGAAAGTAAGCTTTAAAATCGTGAGGTTCAAAAGAACACAGAATTATCTTGGTTTCCTCTAACCATAGATATTTATGTTTGACGTTAGTAAATGGATTGTCTTATATTCTCTCATATTTTCAACAAAGTATATTCATATATAGAAGTTTATTTTTTTCATTTCCAGTTGTAATTGAGATCATGATTAAAGTATATATTCTTTAAGTTTGTAAAATGGATACTTTTCATTCATTCAGCCCTTTCTTCACTCATCAATCAAAGATCATTCTAATAGCAACTAGCTTTTGAATTCAAAACGCTTCATTTTATCTTAATATGCTTTGTTCTAATGTTTTCTGAATTTCGGTAGATTTTCTCGAAAGAATTTATTTTGAGAGATATTTGCGTTTATTTATATCTCTATTTAAAATTACACCTTTAAGCATGGATTCTTATATTAACGAATAAACTCGTTAGAATAGTTCCTCTGTAAACTAATGGATTGATGAATATTGTCGTTCTAAGTAGACTATTTATCAATTCACCAACCTATTGCTTGTACAGCCTATTCGATGAATGATTTTTAGATTATGGAAATAAGTTTGCAAATCCTTATATGGCATATAATGAGCGTTTTAGATCATACATTTAATTTTAGAAACCAGTCTCATAGTCGTTTCAGGCAATTTTTACGACTATATATATACTACTTATACTCTGTAAGTAATTAATGTCATGCCGTAGAGCTTCGGCTTTATACATTACAATGAGACCAAATTTATTATTTTAAAAAATAGTCTGAGGAAAACAGCATGTATTTTGATGAGACAGGATTTGTAGTCCCTGTGATATCTTGTGTTATTTTAGATCATTTTTGTAATGGTAAACTGAGTTAGTTCCCGATTTTTGATCAGCTGCTTCTATTACCTCTATGGATAGTAGCCGTCAACATAAGGACATTCTACTAGCTTCCAATAAATGGATAAACTACCTATAACAATGTAACATTCTGAGACATCTGGAGGATTGTCACCGGGAAAGTATCTAATTTACGGGAGTATGGGAACTGATTTTGATGTCTTAATAACCTGTGCTGAGAATTCTATATTGTACCAAAACTATAATATTGAATAAAGCCATTAATAATAATAATTAATAATAATAATAATAATAATCCCAAAAAGGCGCATCAGTTCTTATTTGTTCCAATTACCTGGACCAAAATATGTAAGGGATTATCGTCCTCAGTGTCTACCTGAGATAATCATTAGAAGAGGGTTGTTGTTGGTGATTTGCAAAGCATATACTGGAAGACACATATGGATTAGATATAAAATCCAACTGCTTGTTCGATGCATCGACGAGAATGCTTGCTATATACAATGACCCGTGGACACACTTCTCTATATTTTGGAAATAAAGATGAAGATTCCAACGACCCAACATGAAATCATGCCTGTGTGGGGTCCATAAAAGCGTATGTTGCTCAGTCTAACAAAACTCACGTATGATTAGCTTCAAGAAAGAAGATATTTGAGAATATATTATTTCTCAAAAATTCAACCCTAATCAGTCAGAAAGTGGATTTAAAAAATATCCAGTTTCTGAGTTTTTGAACTTCAGTTTTGCAATTTAATTCAACTCGGTGAAACTTGCATTCTGAATAACTGTTTCTTAAAAGCATCCTAAAAATTCCATGCAAACTCACGCGTTTTCCAATATTTCTTTGGTTGGTTGGAGTTTTCAGCAGAAAATCTGTTTATTTTGTCTTCTCGATAGTTGACAATTGGGTCAATAGTCGTTTTTGGGAAAGTCTAGTCGAAGTTCAGTTGGAGGATTATTCTACCTCACGTTCACTATTACTTTGTTCTTTTAAATTATTTATCTTAAACGAAGTCATAACAGCAACTCGAATTTCTCTTTTAATAAGTTAATTTGATAACTGACACAAGAATAGACTATTCAAAATAATGTATATGGTAGATGATTATAAATATGTATGACATAAGAGTTTATTTCCTAACCAGTGATGTCGTATGGTCGACTGCAGTTAAAGTTAAAGGTAGACTACCAAAGAATGTGAGACAAGAAGTTGTCTATGAGATCAAATGTTATGAATGCAATGCAGTGTACATGTAAGAAGCATCCAAACGGTTAAATTTAATGTTAAGTAAGCAATAATAATGTTTGAAACATGCTCTAAAATCCTCGGTTGATCTTAAGAAACCTGAGAATGAATCTATTATAACTCTACATACGTTTGAAACAGCACACAAGGGTCCAAAATACTTCAGAAAAGATTTGACGTGCACAAAAAATGATTAAGATCATTAGCGTTGTGTATTTGGGCCAATCAAAATAACTTAGATAGAGAAGATTAAATTCAACTAGCCACACCTTAGCAACAATTCATTAACAATCAATATGAACCTTATCTCTATCCACCTCGTTTATGTTACATGTAATTTTATTTCGACAGGAACTAATCTCTTAACAACACAACTAGAAACTTTTCATGTTTTAAAATACTTTTCAATTTGTAACTATTAGTTTTTATTTTTATTATTTTTAATTAAACAAAATTATTAACTTATCTTTGTTATAAGAAACAATAACCATATTTATTTATTCAGTAAATTTTAATTGTTCATAACATAAAGATACAATTACGCATAGATCTATAGTTTCTACATCTTGTGAATTATTCACAATATTCAACATTCTACTATGTCTCCCTTTCTCTCCCATATATATTTTCCTATTTTCCTAGAACTTATGACTGAATAAATTTTGACAAGTTTAGATTTATTCTTTAAACATTGATCTAAATTTCGTTTTTGGTCTATTATTTTTCCTGAAGAAGTTCAAACAAGAGATATTGTGGTGTGTGCTATTGATGTTGATAGATATAAGTAGTCTATAACACCAGTCGAATGTGGAATGCCTGAGGGCAGAAAATTAAGAAGATGGAAGTAAGGAGAATAAGAACAGAGAATGATTGATGTGGAAACGAAGGAACAATCAAGTTTGAGACCATTGATTGACATTTTGCAAATGAAGTATTTACTGTATGGTTCTCAGATTTTACTAAGACATTCTGTAATTTTTTATTCAAATACATTTGATTGTCCCCGCCTATGTTCTCGTCCACTAAAATATTACTGAATAAAACGTTTAGATCATTTAGATTTATCTCAATTAAAACATTTTACATGAATGATGTCTTTTATTGTACTTGGTGACTAATTTCTGGCAAACTATTTATCTAGATATTGATGAATATGCATCTAAGTGATAGTTTATCGTCTGTAAAGAAATACAAGTTTGTAATTTAAAGCAATTAGTCCCTTTTATAAATTTCGATAGAACAATGAGAAGACGGAGTTGATCTGAAAAATGTTTGTAACTTTAGTTTGTCGTTTTTTATTCATCGTCCCAATTCTATTGATTTACAGGTGGATTATATAATCATTTCCTCATTTTATTTTTATTTATTTCATGTCATCATTATTTTCATTTTTATTGTGGTCTTTGTTCTAGGGTGGTAATGTTATATGTCAACGAGAACAATTGAAACCAGTGGGAGCAGCTGCCATGTCCACCGCTACAATTGATTCATCACAGAAGTGTATTGAATTAACCTCTTGGAATAATAATACCATTGGTAGCAGCAGTTGTCTTAGTGCTACTACTACTAGTAGTAGTAGTGGTAGTGGTAAAATGATTGGTCGTCTCCAGGGTAATCCTACTGCTTCGAATGTTGTACTATTCAATAACCCACCAAATGCTAAACGTCCACGTTTTGAATTATCATCATCAACATCATCCACAGCATCAATCGAAAGTTCACATTGATAAATACATTGTTAATTTTGGATAATATGTCATCATCATTTACCCTGGGATCAATCATAATTTATACAGATTGCATTCTCTTTAACTTTTAACCTACCTTTCTGAAATATTTTCTTTAGAGTTTGATTGTATATTGCTGAATAATCTTCCTTTGATTTCCTCCATATCTTTTCATATATATATATATATACGTCCAGAGACAATCAGAGCTTAATTGGATGGATAACCAGCTCCATGTACTTATGTGTTTAAGATATATAACTTCTACTATCAGCTTCTGATTTTTATGCGTATATGTTTGTATATACATATTTCTGAGTGTTTGCTCACACTTTTACCAAACAGTCAGTTACTTCCTTACTATTTAATCATTATTATTGTTTTCTGATAGAAAGTACATCTATGATTTATATGCTCCATTATTATACAAAAATTATCCTTGCTCTACTCATCTCTCTTCAATATATATCTATATAATACTGTCGTGTATTATACATAATGAAATATTTATTAATGTCCGTATTGTATGCACACTTTTTGTTTGTTTGTTCTGATGATGATGATGATGGTAATTGTTTGTTTATTTAATTTCTACTTTAACATGAATATACATTTTCTTTTTTCATCTTTATCAACTGGTAATTCTACATATACTGACATTGAATCAACAGTGTTTTCTTCCCTCCTCATAGTAGTTGTTAGTTTTCGATTATTTTCTTCATCCTCATAACTTCTCTAATTTTCTTCGTTTCTTTTTTTGTTGTTGCTGAAAATAACATATTATTCTACAGACACTCAAACGTTTATGATAAAATCTGTTATTTTGTAAAATTTATTCATTTCATATACACCATACTTTATTGCTTCAGTCCATTTTGTGTATTCTGTGTACATAAGCCTCTTTCGAATTCGTCTATTTCGTCAATGAATTATTTCATTTATTAATATTATTATTCTCATACTGTAAAATTCATCACCTAGATATATTCTCATATATATATATACCTACTGTTGTTTCACCATGAACGATATTTATGTTTTTCTACTGTTCACCAGTTAATTCCTCATTATATTATGTTTTGCTTTTATACATGTTGTAAATGAAATGTATGTGTACGTGTTTGTAGGTGTATAATCCAGAAATGAATAGTATCTTGCAGTGTTACTAGTAGTAGATTTTGCCTATTCCAATTATTATTGTTATTATACTGTTTTTTTTTTAAAAATTTGGTAATACCTACTGAAATAATTCTATCTTTTAAGGGTATTGGTGTATTGTTTAACAAAGATGAAATATAAAACCTACTTTTTACACTAGTTATTATCATAATTTGAGAATATTATGATTTCGTTCGAGGACTTTTTTGCCCCCTTTATCTATTCTATGAATACTATGTAGTCACATTTCTATTATTGGTTTCCACACGAACTTATGTATGTATGAAGTAAACTGTTTTGGAATTTTTATCAAAGGAAATGTGTTTTTGTTTCACTATAATCACAGGTTTAATTTATTTGTGTATACGTTTTCTTCCTCTTCTTCGTATCGCTTGCATCCCTGTGTCGTACACACACATCCACACTATCGCTCATCAATGATGCGGTGCTGACTCATGTTTCTCATGTGATGAATACTCCAATATATATGGATTGTAGTTGAAAAGAACTTGTTGGTATCAATCAGAAAAATACTTTTCCGAGAACATATATCATTGATAACATATCGATGTGTTTTGTTTTACATATTACAAGTTTATAAGTTACATTTTTGTACTGTTTGTCCGTTCGTCTGTCTGTATGTATGTATTCGAAATTGCATGTTATCATCTCATTGTAAATACATATTTTTTGTTGCCTTTTTATATATAAATAACAAATAAAGTCTATATATTTCTTTTGGTAAAAAATTATTGTTCTTAATTGGTAATCCTGTGTATATGATGAAAGTATATGTGTGTAGTATATGTTTGTATGTGTATAAATATTCTCATATATATACGTTGTATACTTGTTCAGAGGAATAGGCTTTCCTTTGCAGTTGTTACTACTTACATCGGTTTAAGTGTTCACCCTAGAGATATTCATATTAGACAATTATAGGTAACTCCAACCTCTTGATATGAGATCAATAATAAAAGGTGTAGCGTTTGCTTACTAAATGGACGGAAAATTAACCGAAGTTGTTGGGTACGACATATTTAGTGAACATTAAAGACCTTAGGGCTCTTATCGTTCACTTCAAGATGAATATGTGAACTATAGAAAGAAATGTAATACTAAAAATATACTTGAAATAGGTAATTTTCCAATGACATCTGCTTCGGTTAGGGCACTCGGGCAGTATCACAGCCCTCACACATATCAAATGAGATCTGTGTGGCGCATATGTTTTGGGTGCCTCCTTGTACCAATATCTGTGTGTTAAAATAAATTTAAATAATGAGTAGATTTGAGAGTTATCATGGTTCTGTTTGGAATTAGAAAATATGTTTCATCGCATTAATTTTAGTTGTCCACCTCTAACACTTGATCCTTGTTTAAGTATGTGGATGATGAAAATGTAATTACGGCAAAGTAGAGAATGCACTAAGCACATATGTATTTAAAATTAGACAAATTGACTCACTCAAGGATTTGTTAGCTTTTACGTTTATTGTATGTTTGGTTATACTTCCATTTGACTTACCATACAACCTAGAGATATTAAATGACATGTCAGGCTTAATTGGTATGATAGAAATTAACAAGGCTTTCTAAAGTAAATGTATTGCCTATTAAGTCAAATAGTCACCTTCGAATAATATTTAATTCAAATGTTGTATTCACAAAATAATTGGAAAGGCTAGGCCACTGAGTTTTAAGTGTTTTAGGTGACTAAAATTGATGTATTCATTATGGGAACATCATTCGTTCTGTAGATATGAATGTATATCTATCGGATGTGTCCATGAGTATAATTATAAACTCATGTCTTAGATTGTACTACCGAAAATACCATTAAGATATAATCGCATTTGAAGTTATTTAATGGATAATTCCTGTAGAAATATTGTTGTCCATAAATAACCATTGTCCTAGAAGTGACTAGTGGTTTTCTTTTTTAGCAAGTACTCATTTGGAGTTTGGCCATGTGTTCCCGAAGTAACTTTTTAGCCGGTTGATGACGTTTTGAGTCTTTATTGACTGAGGTAGTTTAGATATGTGTCAAGTATGCCTAACCACCGTCTAAATCGACAGATATTAGCTGGTGTAGAAGAAGGTTAAAAGAAAGTTAGGTGAGAGCAAACCAGGGCGTATCGTCGGTCAGAGAACTCCCTCACTGCTGATCTGTGACTTTGATAGATAAAGACTACCTGGTAGTGGCCCTCATGGTTATTGCAATCAGTAGGTTGTGACATTGAAGGATGTGGTTCAGAGTAGGTCACAATGCCTTAAATTTATTCAGTCCTTGTCTTCCCCCAGTCCCTGAGTTTCCGTATTCCTTCATCATACATTTTCATCATGTTTTTTTTGAAATAATATTCTCACTAGGACAGATATAGGCAGATCCAACTGAAGCTTCTTAAACAAGATGAAGCATGGATTCTAGCTTCAACTACTGACCGATTCGGCATATAAATATCATACGGGTTTTATAAATTTTTATTAGTGTGGCAATATAAATGTTTTTGTTCATAGTGGTATTGCATATATCCATACTTAGTTAAGATTATTTGATGTCAGTGTTAAAATTATATTTAAGTTGTATGTTAGGTATTATTTTATCAGCTTTCTAGTTTTTTTTAAAACATTTCGTTAGTTTCGAAGGTTAAACGGCTACTATGTTTGTGATTCGAAAGTCACTCCATCTTTACTTCAATTTAAACAATTGAATAATCATTTTCATCACAAGGAAAGATTGATCTTCACTACTTGTGTTCGTTGAATTATTCAGCATGAAATTGTGCAAATGTTACTAAAGTTCATGTCGAGTGATAATAAGGTGATCGATTCTGGAATATTTCAAGGTTATGATTGAATGTGAATGGAATGATAGGGAGAAGGATTTTAAAGATGACTATTAACTAACTATAGTAATAACAAATACTAATTAAAATGAAAATGATGATAGATTTTATGTTACCGTTTGTTCAGTGAAGTATTCCACGTTCACTTGGTAGTGGGAAATATCCTAAAGATTGGAATAATAAACATTTTACTATGGTTTCATTCAGTAGTGTGGTATAATTTTATAGATTAAGTTACTCTGATGATCTATTCTTCTCTTTTTCTTTTCTATAATTATTTTAAGATAAATTGAATTAAAAGTCTTTATTCTAAATGATAAATCAGATTGATGTTATAATGCCAATAAGAAATATCCATTGATTATTAACACAGTTGTTATCATAACAGGATGTGGATTTAGTTTAGTGAAGTTATTGACTTCTGATGTAGTCCATTGTGTTAATAATAATAATAATAATAGTCATCTTATTCAGTAATATATGCTTGATTACTATGCCTAAGTCTATGCGTGGATTGTATGATATTTTAATGAATCCTATTTATTCATTTGACTTTTGAATATTAGAAAAAAAATACACTAACTAATATAGCGGCCTTCGAATTTTGTAGCAATCAACTTCATGCGATAGTTTGTGAGGTTTTCATAAAAGCCCATGAATATGATTACTGTACGTAGTTAACTAGTTGAAACAAATCCAGGAAAAAAATTCTCTGAAATAGTTTTACACAGTTGAAAAATTATGTATTCTGGTATTTAAGAAAGAGAATCTTATTGAAGCCTAGATTATTTTTTCTTTACATCTATCCGATAACTAAAATAAAAATGAATCTCTGACGACTTAATGGAATTGTTGTTTTTGTAAAGCATTGATCATTGTCTCTTTATCTCTTTCTGTATTTGCACTTATTCGGTGTCTATTGTGTTTTATTCTTGATCTTGTTATATATCAGTACTTTATATAAATCATGAACCGACTTGAAAGCACTGGACG